CCTTGATGGCCGACTAAATTTTGCAATCAAGGTTGGCGGCCACTTGTTGGCTTCAAAATGGTCCTGACGATGAATATGACATCTGATTTTGACATTTAGCGCGATTTGGCACCAAACCGTAGGCGCCAACCCAAATGCAAAATTTAGTCGCCACGGGGGATCGAACCCTTAACAGTACCTTATGCTTCTTTTGGTACTGCTAAACCGTTCAGCGAAAATGAAACATGGTTTTGTGTTCCCTACATGCGTCCCTACAATATGCAAAAACCGTTCTGAAAAAGCGCGGCTTGCCGAAAGACCCCCTTGTTAGAGCCCAAAAAGGATGGCCTCAAACATGCCCCAAACCTATATCCTTTTTGTGCTCATTATGGGTAGAGCTCATGGTAAAGATTTTAAAGAGCTTGCTGAGGCCAGCGTACTCTACCCCTAGCGCGGTGCAATGTAATGGATAGCACGACTACGGACACGGAAACTACAGGGGTGGCCAAAAAAAGAGACACTTTGCCCATGGCGCACATCATCGAACTTTTCGTCGCACAGGGAGCCGATGTTAATGAAAGTTTTACGGCGGAATATTCCTTAGGTGTTCCCCCGTAAACAGAAGCAGGCCCTCCTTCACTGCCCCCGCCGTCTTCAGAATATGACGTCATCTGCCGCCACCGTCGAGCTCAACGAGGCTTACCGTAATCGCTCCGGCCTGAAGCTGCTACATAATTTCTTCAATGGATTAACTGTTGAATAGCTTCCCAGAGACATTAGCTGTGACTATGCAAAACCGCTTTTGACCAGCGTTTCAGGGACGTCGTAATGGTCTATGGTACCTCGACGACCTCGTTGAGCTCGTACCGTGAACCATGTTTCCGTGGGAAAATCTTCTGATGTCGTCGGTGTAGAAGGCTGTCATGTAATTTAGATAGATTAGAATGTGCTCTTCAATACTGAGTTGGGGGCAGTCGATTTGATTTTAGCAAAGTGTGATTAATGCTGTCTGAAATGTGGAGTGAAGTGTCTCTTTTTTTTTGGCCACCCCTGTATTTCGAGTTCCCGTGCCCGGCTCTGACCGAGGCTATGTGATCTGACCAAAGCCCCACACACTTAGGGTAACGTTCGCGTTAGAATATGGGACAAAATCAACAATTATAAAAACTCAAGGATCAAACTTTTTGGCCTTGATCAACCTCTTCCTGGGATTCGCAGCGCCATCTAGTTACCAACTCAGTATAGTAGGGCCATTTTGAATGCGACTTGTGAATGCGACTAACAATGCTTGCGGGATCCGACCCAGGGTCAACCGTCACGTTCGAACATTTTCGGGATTTTTGCGACCCCCTAGCTCTCGAGGGGGTCCAGTTGCGACCCCCTGTTTTTGTTAATAAGAGTGCTAGACATGAATCCGTTGCGCCAGAAAGCGTCTGCGCGTCGTTGCGGCGTCAGCCTTGGAGCGCGGCAGGTATCACCCGGGCGCTGGAAGAACGGGACGCGGCGAAGAAAAAATTTTAGAATAACTTTCTTGGGACGTATTTTTTTGACTTGTTGAGGTAGATTTTGACTGTGCCTGAGGTGCGCTTTCAGAAAACTACAAGGATTGCCTAACTCTCCGGAAAGTACTTCTGTTAGAAGTGGAAAACCCAAAATTCTAAGAAGGCGCACCTTCAACTTTGAAGGCCCATAAAATCTTTCGTATGCGACATTTTGGAAATCTGTAAAAAGTTTCAGAAACTTCAAATATTTCTCTAACAAAACAGTATAAAAGTTTAGTGATTGTCCCCTTTTTCAAAAAATTGTCCCGTTCGAACATTTTTCGTGCAAAAGCGAGTTTTTGGGCTTTCAGCGACCATAACTCACTTCATTTTCATTTCTGTGATGCACTTTTTTCATGGGGTGAAAGTACAGGATTTGCTCTTTCTAACAAGCCCCAAACCGTTTTTCAAAGTTCATTTTTCGAGAAAATCACACGTTCGAACATTTTGGGGGGTTTTGCCGAACACTTTTTTGAAATCGCGAGTTTTTGGGCTTTAAGCGGGCATAACTCACTTCATTTTCATTTCTGTGATGCACTTTTTTCATGGGGTGAAAGTACAGGATTTGCTCTTTCTAACAAGCACCAAACCGTTTTTCAAAGTTCATTTTCCGAGAAAATCACACGTTCGAACATTTTGTTCCCATAGGTTTTTGAGCAGCACATGCGAGTTTTTGAGCTTTCAGCAATAATAACTTCCTTCAAAGAACTTGTTGGGGAGGGGCGAAGACATTTTTGAAGACTACGAGATTTCTGCTTTCTTATGTGTTTTACCGTTGTCTGGAAGAATCGTCCTCAGAAAATTAGGTCCCGAAGAACTTTAATTTCAGCCCCGAGAAGTCAAACCTTTCATAGGGATGCATTCAACTGTTCTTTATTCCTCAAGAAAACACCGTAATTTGCCTAAAACTGTCTCTCTGTGCATAATAATCGAATCTAATGCGGTCTGCACAAGCAATTCTTGCCCTCGGATACGCCACGCACGCGCCTGTGGCTGGCAGTCCTCGAAATTGCGACCCCCTTCCGACCAAAATGCGACCCCTTCGTTCGAACAGTTCGAACGGACGGTTGACCCTGATCCGACCATTGTACAACTCATGGTCAGTGTATTCATCCTCCCGAACAAGTCTGGTATCGATCACCCGACTGGGAGGCATAGAAAGTCTGGTTTATCTTTACGGCGTACGATCCTCAACTCGATCTTCGGACCATGCATGTGACGAGCGCGGCCACTTGTCATTGCATAACTACCGTCCTTTGTCCGCACAAAGATCAGCAACTGACAGAACATACACACCAAAGAAAGTAAACTTTGTTATCGAATCCCAAGTAAGAATTTGTGTTATTGTCAATTCTTGGGCCGTAAAGTTGGTTTGGCCGCTTTTGCTGGCAGTACACTCGAGAAATGCAATTCTCGCAGTAACTTCTCTTTTTCCTACTCACTGAGCCAACTGCTACGCCGGCAAATGCAGCTCGACAAGCTGAATTACTTTTGTGAAAAAAGAAAGGCGGATCAGTAATTCTCAAGGCTACACTGCTCACCAGTGATAAAACAGAACCCCTCATGAAGAATTACGTTTTGGTTCAATATCCCATCTTGATGTTGACTTCAGCTGCTTTTACTCATAAGCGCCTTCTCCACAGAAGATCATCGCCGCCGAATAATCCGCTTAGTAATAGTAATTAGTTAATTCCCAGGACCACGCTGTAAGCACAACCCCGGATGAGTCCAGGTAAATGAAGCCTTCTGGTGGTTAGAATAGGGCTGTTCACGATGATCGTATATTTCTCCTTCTCACAATTCCAAAGTGCACAACGAAGGCACTGGAGCAGCAACGACCGCTTCAGCCGCTTCAATTCTTTCAGCCCGCGTCATGTTGGTGCCTAACGCTGTCTGATTTTTATGCTGCTCACCCATCCTCTCTCCTACGAGCTCAGTCTCTCATTGCCTCAGAACAAAAGCTAACAAGCACTCATTTCAATATTTATTTTCCTCGCTTCTTCTTTAGTTCGCACTAAAGCTTCATGTTCGGGCACAAGAGGCACACCAGTTCAACACTTGGGTGCGCCTTCAGAGGCATATTTCACGATCACCAATCACCAACGATTACCAGCAGTGATGTTCTTATATGAAACGGTGGCCGCGTGGCCTTACAGTGAAGAAAGTCCGACGTGAACTGTCAAAAACGCCCTAAATAGCGCTCCTCTTCCTGGCCAATGCTTTTATGAGCTTACGACAGAAGATAAGTGCGTAGGGCTAAAAGACGATGAAGGCGATGAACAAGGCAGGCAGAAGTTCCAGAGAAGGACAGATCGGCGAAGCGAGGAGGGCCGACCAGCCTCTGGGACCTGATGGCGCAATTTTTGAGCTACTCCAGGGTGCAGTGATGACGCATATAGAGCCTTCGCACCCAGTCACCATTTCCCTGGCTTGGCGCATTTCACTGCCCGGGAGCGTCTTTCATGACACAGTGCGATTTTATAAAACGGTTTTGTGCAGGTTATGAAGGCAAATTTTCTGGGCGATCCTCTGAATGCAAAAAAAACAAGCAAAAAATTTTGCAGAAAAGCATTTTTTACAGCCTTGGTGCATTATTTAGGGCTTACAGCGTGAATTTGCATATTACTAGGATCTTCTTGCCAAGACGGTAACGGTGCTGTTATAAAGTTCATTTCTGGTGGCAGCACAACATAGCGCCATTTCAGCTCCATTCGGTGCCATTGGCGTCGCTTGAGCATCGTACACTTTTTACACCAGCTTTTGGTCAAAATCAACCCAGATAGGGCAATGATGATCTTGATCTCAAGAGCAACACCCATTTTTTAGCGCTGAATACTTAGCGACATACTGCAGTATATATGAATGCAAAACTTTGTCATCTCTGGGAATCGATCCATGGACCGATATTTTGATCCTTTTCTGGTATTTACAAGGCTGCTCAGAAGAAAACCGGTCGCTGATTCGTTGGACGGGGCATCACTATGCAGAAAACCCACGGGGCTAACACTCCCTCTCCTATTCCTTCTTATAATTAAGCCTTAGGGGGTACTAGGAGAAGAGGGGTAAAGCGATTTTCAATTTCTGCGAAGTTCTTCCTCTCCTAGGCCCAGTCCACACAACAATGCCCGACTCGACGACAGCCGGCCATATTTGCATGTCCCATGTGAGTGCAAAAGACCATTCTAAGCCGCATGACCTGAAAGACTAGTCCTGCTAAGCTAGTCGCGGTGCGAGCCTGGAGTCCAAATTTCATGGAACGATCAAGCCTTGGGTTATACCTGTTCTCAAAGAAACGGTGCAAACGTTTGCACTTTCATTGTAATCATTTGATAAGGGCACTTCTTTCCTCAGACACCCAGTAAAGAGCAAAACCCTGAGACGAATCGATTACAGCTTGCAATCCTGACGATCATCTCCTCTCCTCCAACAGCTTTTACCTGACCAGAACTTTCAGTGTACTCCTTCCAGTCAACTGGGACAATGGATATATGGCCATGGCCACGAGGAACGTCCCACATGATGCGTGACATGATGCACGATTTTGATCGTTTCGAGAGAAGCATGTTCCCGTACTGGAGAGATGCTGACCACTCAGTTCTTCATGTGGGACGTGATACTCACCAGGTATGCCTTCAACATCTGCGGCATGCAACAAACGTGCACCCTTTGCATTTTGCAGCCAATCAACGATGACAAAAAGTTTGCTGTTAGCCTGAACGTGTCGCATTTTCGTCCAGAAGAGTTGAATGTTCATGTGGAAGGACGGGAGCTGACGATCGAAGGCAAACAAGAGCAGAAGGACACGAACAGCTACGTGCAAAGGTAGGAATAGGCTACGCGTTGGTTGTTGCCATTCGAGATTTTTCGCATACGACTCACAGGCGCGTAAAATCAATAGCCATATTTCATTGCGAGCATAAAATTAAGCGTTCCATCCAGTACGGGAGCAGGAGTGTATGCGATTGTTCGACGTAACTCACGGGCGCTTAGCCGGCTGCTGCCAGAATATCTCTCTTTTTAGTGTAAATGTCTTAGTGCCACATTTTAGCCTCAGAAGGGCGGCCATGCGTGCGCAATCATCATTTCACCCGTAGGAGTATTTTCTCCTCCTAAGCTTAGTCCAAACTGCTCACTATATTGCTGTATATGTATATTGCTTTTCCTAGACGTTTACGTCATCTAGCAGATCAACACATGAGGACGTGTACAGTATACGTAAAACTTTGAAGAAAGTGCGTAGGTTTAGAGCTGGATCAGTTCGTACCTTTAAAGGGCTCTTTGGGCCACATTGGCACCAAAAACAGATTGTGCGCAGCGATGCCCCCTCTCATTGGATGGTCTCAAATTTTCAAAATAGCGTTCTAGAAGGGCATTGAGAATTACTTAATGTTTTGAAGGCTGAAATAAACATAAGGCGGCTCCCTTAGGTTGCGCCACGCAATGGACTTAACTCTTGCATCTCAAAATGATTGAGTGGTGGTTGAAAGTTGTACGAATATTCTCGCATTTTTGCGTGGATAGATGCAGAGACGGCTGACTTTCGGCACTTTGGTTTATTGTCGCTCTGAAAAGTTATGCAGCAATTGTCGACACGAGAGTGATGTTTTACTAGGTAACGCTCAGCAGCAGCGTTGCCCAGGGCTGAAATTGAGTAATCGCTTGCGTTTCAGGTCTTTCATTCGCAAGTGGATCTTGCCGGATGATGTGGATATGCAGGCATATGTCGGTTTCCGCTAACTCTGCAAACGACACAAGGTCAATATTGATCATCGAATCCGCAAGGGTCCAAGTGTCGACCAGAGAATCAGCATTCCTATCCTGGCAGCACCATCTGACGCTAAATAAACTCAGCCCTTGAACAAACGCTCAAATGGAATACCTGATAAGATAATCAATATGAGAAGTTTTTGGGCTATCAATGAAGTGTATGACTGATTGCTGCCGTTGTTCCTCTCACTTTAAAACAGTAGTACACTTTGACTAGGAGGCTACGCAATTTTTAAGACACTTGTTTTTATTCGCGTATGACTTACGACTATGACTGACGGCTCTGACAACAACTGACCACCACCAGAGAAAAACAGACCTCCCAGGCGATCCCATGAAGATCGATCGAAGTTCTGAGACAAAGTTCGGGATTACTGGGCGAAAATGAAGGCCTTACGCGAGAAATATGAAGTGGATCGCAAGTGCGATGGACAGACCCACCCCATAACTCAAAGGCAACCCCTCAAATGAAATGGGTGTGTAAGAACGTTCAATAATAAAGCTAGAGGTACAGTACCTTCAGGAAAAAAAAAGCAGGAGGAATCACCGGCCCCTCAACGGTTGAAAACCCCCTCCAGCCGCATTCCACCTTGAGCCAGAGAATAGTCGTGTTGGACGGGTTACGACCTAAGCTCCATTTGCTCCACTGCCAGTGACATTGCCGCAACTGGCTCGCGCTTTCCTGCGTGACAGCCGATAGCGGAAGGCGGGGCGTGCGGACGAAGGTGTGGATTGCGGCTTGAGTAAAGTACCAGCGCCTTTGTCGTACACTTTCAAGCCGCCAAAGGGGCGCGACATAAACCCCCACTTTTCCCCCCCGGCCTTCCCCCTCTGGGATGAAACAGGCGAGCGTGGTCCCAGCCGGGGTCAATCGCGCGTTGTGTAGAATTCAAAATTTTCACGACCCCCTCCCTTTCGGACGGTATCAGTACGACTGTATTAGCTATTACGTCCTTTTACATATTTCAGGCCCATCATCGGTGCATGGGCCGTCACCGCCATAGAGAGGTGGTGGACAGGAGTAAGTCCGTGCGTTTTGTCTCGCTCAAAGGATGGGTATCAAGGCAACATGAAATTTCGCTCATTAACACAGTCACGACGACGCCCCTTTTCCACTTTTCGGTGCGTGGGACGGACGCGATTTTGTGGGCGCCGCCGCCTCACCACATAACCGCAGATTTTGTTTTGTAAATGAACAAAAACATGAATGTCACAAAATAATTTCTGCAATGTCCAATGCGTAAAGATTATCTAAACATATAACAGTAGGATTTCGATCAGAACGACAAATAGTGGTTACGAAAAGAGAGCATTTATTCACTTTCCCCGTGAAGGAATTTAAAAGCATTTTACACTCGATTACGAGGTTTGCCCACCTATCTGTCCATTCCTAGCGCCTGGCAAGCGATTATCAGTTGGCAGCCCATATGGGCTGCCATCGTCCCAGGAGCGCATGTTGTTGGCAGCCCATATGGGCGGCCATCGGCGTGAATGTGGTGAATAGAAGAAGTGCCAAATTTTTGAACCAACCTAAGCATGGTAGTAATCACAGAGATTTCGCACGCCAGGAACCAACCAAGTTTCTGCCAAACTCGCAAATCTCCTTTTTTTATAAACTGATTAATTGGACCTTGCAACAATTCCGTTACGGTACAAACCTCTTCATTCAAAAGATCATATCTTTCTTCAGAAGCAGTCGTCTCGTGAGATGGAAACAAAAGTTCACAAATTGCAAATTGTTTTCTTTCTAGAGGTTTGTTAGACACGCGCAAATGACCAATTCTTCAAAAAGTCGTTCCGTTGTCCGTTTTTTGTGCACAGGCGAGTTTTCATCATTCAAACGTTCATAACTTCCTTCATTGTTAAATTTTAGCAGATTTTCAATTTCCTTTTTCTATGGCTTTTTCGGCCATTTTCTTGGAACGCGAGTTTTCAACCTTCAAACAGCCATAAGTTTCTTCAGAGTCGATACGTTGAGACGCGACAAAGACCGCTGAATCAGAAAGATCAGTTCTTTACAGAGTATGCTGGAATATCTTTGAAGAAAAACCCTCTCCTGCCATAGGTTTTGACCAGTACTCCACAAATCAATCAGCCAAACTTGTTGCACTTTTTATTTTTTCAATGAATTTTGATTTGATCTGAAAACGTGGAGGTTTCTCTGGACGATTTTTTTCCGCTTCTGCTCCCAGGAAGGTGAGCTATTTTAGTAAGGAATTCCGCTCTGGGATGCGCCATTCAATCGTCCGTGGTGCGCAGTCGCAGTGACCGTTGAAAGTTCTGCCCTCCTTTGCCACTTAGCCACGCATTGGCAGCTTCTAATTCTGTGAATGGTATTTGAGGTTACGACCCCCTCTTCTTCTATGGGCAGAAACACCCCTCGCAACGAGCGATAAACGCCTGTCGTCATAACATAATTTGGCAATTGGAACAGTGGACGGTTGACCCTGCACACTCAGGCCGCGCTCCACTTCAACTCAGTTTTCAGGCCATCCCAGCCCAAGCGTTTTGCTCGGAACCTAGGGCTCCATGAAAAAGCTCAGGCGGCGCATATGCGTGCTAATGACGTCAGTGTGATGTCACAGCGACAGCGAGAGAACGAGCAAGGGATCAGCAACTTCAACAAGCACTTTGAAGGAGCATTCCACGACACGGTAGGAGGTGGAAAGAAGGGAAATACACACTCGTAGGACAGGCGCACACCCTGAAAGTGCGGTTTGATTTCGAAGCGAGACGTATGCCCCAGCAGACTTGCGGGGTCATACTCACGCATCTTCGGTGTCCCCGAAGAGGAACCATCGCGCGGCGAAGGAAGAGACACAGACGCGGCAAAGACGAGTCGCAGCGCGTGCTGTGCGATATGAGACGTAGTATGGTACACTCTTTTAACCTGACGCCTAACCGCTACAGTATGCGCTGCGACTCGTCCTTTGCCGCGTCTGCGTCTCTTCCTTCGCCGCGCGATGGGCCTCTTGGGGGACACCCCTCACGCCGCTCACGTCTTTTCCCGCCCACCGAGCGGCTAATCGCCCACCGTCGAACCCTAGCCACGGGCTCGACGGCTTCAGCAGGGACGTAGAGCAGAGCGCTCACACTGGTGACGTCAGCACCGATGAGACTAGGGCCAATACTCAAGTCTACGACAAGGGTGAAGGGGGGGGGGTCTTATCCGTGCACACTGATCATTCTACATACCTTGATTTCTAATAGGCTGTCTTTTCTTCAAAAATTCTGCATTTAAAATTCTGTGGTCTTACACGGGGACCAGTGTAGATTATTCGATTACCAATTACTTCCTAGCCTTTTTCATTGCTAGAAAAACCTTATCATTCGTGTATGCGTCGTACACACGCTATCGGTCCTGTTCTGCATTTGATAGCGGTCATAACGACCTCGGTCGGGGGCGCCCATCGGTGTTCCACCACCTCTTTTCTTTTTCTTCTTTTTTTCATGATGGTCAGCATAAAGCTAGGGCACACTTTTGACCTTATTTAATATACATTTCTTTTCTACGCACTCCTTCCATCGTATGGATGATATAAAATGGTTGGTAAAAAACTAACTGGGTTTTGGAATGCGCCATGTGTTCCATTTCCACTCGGAATCATGGAAGCGTTCGAATATAGTGGTTTTTACGGGGATCGGGCACCCCATACACTTGTGAGGATGGGGATGTGAAGAGGATGGGGAGGAGGGGATCAGATGACATCACACCATGAATACTCATTGTTACTGCGAAACGCCACAGAAAACTGAAAGTGAAGTCGGATCAGAGCTCAGCTTGAGGAGCCTTCATCTTTTCGCCCTTGCGAAGGTTCATTCAAAATGTAACCAAAACGTTTGGTAAGAAGGTCAGGGTTATCACACAACTACGATTTTCACAAAACGCTCCGTATCCGCGGTAAGCGCAACTATAAAAAGTCTAGAAGGCTTCTGCAGGAGATACATCAGGGCGGATTGAAGCAATCAGGCTTGTCCCAGCTTTGAGTATTCCAAAATCCTCCTTGCAAGCTATTGGTTCCTGACCATATCATATGAAGTTTATCCCTGACGCCTCCTGTTGCCAGTACCCGAGCAGGAGTATTCCACACCATCGAAAGCAATCCTTCGGTGAAAACATTTCAAATTAAAGGTTCCTGAGATTCAAGTTTATATGTGCGGTTGAGAGCAATAAAAAAGACATTTAGTCACCACATTCAAATAGATTCAATCACACTTTGCTGAACTCAGACCAAATGCACTCAACTTGGAACTGAAGAGCACATTTCATTTTATTCAAAAACTGCTAAAGGCGTTTGACGTGAACGGCATTAGAAAAATGTGGCTCGGAAATATGGTGCACTGGGAGAAGTCAACAGGGGCCTCGACAGATATTATTATTGTACGATTATGACGTTCCCTAAAACGTCTACCAGCGAGTTCGCATAGTCAGAGCTAATGCCTCTAGGAAGCAGTGAATCGATTTAGGAATTCATGAAAGAGCTTCAAGCCGGAGCAATTACGCTGTATCTCCTTCCGCTAGACAGCGAGACCGACGAATTCTGAAGACGGTGCGGGCAGGTGAGGAGGGCTTGGGACCAGGGTCAACCGCCCGTTGCGCAAAGAACAACGAGGGGGTCGTATTCAGCCGACCGAAAAGGGAGGGGGTCGTATCCACAGACGGGCTGCAAGACGGCTTGAAAAGTGCAGTGTCCGGGAGTGCACTTTCAGCTCTAATGTTCTCCAGGAGCTCTGCACGTGCAGCTGTCGGAGAGTCACACAGACAAGAGCTCCATGGGAGCATTAGAGCATGCAGAGCATTATAAGTCTCACTATCAGCCATTATTATCCTTAATACACGGACGGCGCTTTTCACTCGACAGCATAGATCAAGATTACAATAGCCATAAACATTGTTATAGCGTAATATCATAGCGCTCGCATTCGGCAAAACCGTTGAAAGCAAAACCCAAAAGCAAAGCCAAGCATAA